CGGGTTCCCTGTCCAGCTTCCCGACGCGTCTGTAAGCGCGGAGTGTCTGCTGACCCCGCTGGGTTGTGCCCTGGGGCATCCCACAGTGTAGCGCCGGACCAGTGTGCGAGGGCCAGGTGCTGCTGCCTGGGTTGACAGGACATTGGGTCTGAGAAGGGAGGTGGCTTGTCCAGGGTGACGGGGTCTGTGGGTGGGCTTGCTCACAGGACTCAGCTCCTGGGCCCGTGTTCTGTTCGCTCTGTTACATTTAAGTCAAAGTGAGTTTCTTAACAAATTGAGCGGCACATTTAAGTTTGAACGAACAGTTTGAAGACAGCCATGTCTGAGCACATACGTTTACTCAGAGCATCCTGTTCTGATCTTAAGTAGTTAAAAGGGGTAGTAAGAAAATAGAGAAGTGTAACACTTTCTTGTTTTATATTTAATGATAGAGAATTATTTCAATAGGATTCAGGTTCGTTAACTACCGAGAAACATCAGTCAGGTGGGAGTTAAAGACAGGTGGGTGCTCCCTCATTCTTCCAGTTAATTCTGAAGATTTAAAGGGACAGTGTCACAGTTTCTTTCATGGAACTTTCCAGGAGAGTATTTCCTCGGCAGTCCAGATCTCACATAGTTTCATTGCTTCTCTTTTCTTCCCCAGGTCAGCCTCCACTTTCACTGTCCTCCCTGTTTTTCCAAGAGCGGCAGAAAATGAGTAAATCTGTGGTGAGTGTTTCTGTGTATGTGTTTATTCCCCACTTGCTTTTATAGTATACCTTAGGAGATGAGTAATTCACACTTTTAAAGTGGGGATGGGAAGGTGGAAACAGGAGAGAGAGACGTGGGTGGACAAAGCGTGGAGCACCAGCTTGGCAGCAGGCACCCCGTCACGTTCATTTGTGTTGACAGCACGACCCTTCAGAGCCCGTAAAACCACAGGACAGGCGCTGCTCAGGGGCTTGACGTTCGTTGCAAAAAAATGACAAATACCGTTCAGTACTTGACTTACACTGACCTGCCGAAACAGTTTTGTTTTCTTGTGCATCTCGCGATTTCTTTGGCCCTATCGCTGTAACGGTGAACAGGCTTCCTGAGTGGCCGTCCCTAAACCATGGCCATTGGTGCCTTAACTTGTGTCTCCTGTGAGCAGGGTACACTGTCCAGGGAGCACCCAGTGCCTAGAATTCCTCTGGTAATTAGAACGTCGTCCCATAAATGCATTGTTTTTACTGATTGAGCCGGGCGGGGGGACGAGGAAGCTCTGGAGGAATGGCCTTCCCAGCCTCTACTAGGTCTCGATAAATAGTTTTCTCTGATTGTCTGTCTGGGTTGCGTCTCAGACTGGGCAGTGACGCCTCTGGCAGAGACTGCTGATTTCCCACTCACGTTGTATCCCACGGCCTGTGGTCCCCTGCCCCTTCCTGGAACCTGACCCGGTAAAGGTTAACCTGGGAGCCCCTCCTTGCCTTGGGCCGCTTGCCACCATTCCCATCTGCAGAATCGGCTCTGTTGGTGTCAGTGACGAGTCTCTCCTGTCTCTTCCTGACTGCTTCCTCTGCCCTGTTCATGTGTTGTTTCTTCCACCCCGGCTCGGGACTTTTACACCCGGCAGATCTCCCCCTCCCGTGTTCTGAACTGCCCGCTCTGTCAGTTCTCCCACGCGGACCAGATGCCACTGCTCGGCCACCTGCATGCGCTTCTGGCGAGGATGTCCAAAGGACACCTCAGCTTAATAGGCCCAGTAGATCCGAAAGTAATTATTTGCAGCCCCCCTCCTATGCCTTCTGCTCTCGTCCCCGTCATCTCTCTGTTCCGCTGTCCAGCCTGTCACTCTGTCCCAAACAACGGGATTCATTCTCCTCTCTTTCTCCTGTGTTAGCACATTTGCGTGTTCCTGTTGTTGTGTTCTAAGTGGCTTCTATCCCTTCCCCTTCGTCCCCTTCCTGCTCCCATTAAATTAGCTCCTTCTTTCATCCGTGGACCATTACAGAAACTTCCTTTCTGTGCTCCATCTTTCCTCCACAGGCTCAAGCGTATTTTCCACATTGAGCATTTCTCCAAAAATGCTTCCTTTTTCCATCCCTTGCTCTCTTGCTTTTGGTAATGTGAATCACATCATTTTGCCGCCGCGTGGAAAGCGCTTCAGAGGGTCTTTGAGTGGCAGGAAATCCTGGGGTGTGGGGGAAGTCAAGGGACCCCAGCTTGTTAGTGAGACACAGGAAGGAGTATGGCCTGGGGTGTTCCAGCTGATCCTAGGCCCCATACTGTGTTGGTGGGCTTGGATTTGTTCTTAATCACAAGTGAGGTTAAGTATATTTTCACATGTTTGGAAGCTGTTTCTTGTTTTTTTTGTTTTTTTTTTTGTTTTTTAACGTGTAGACTTATTTTTGAGAGCAGTGTAAGTTTATAGGAACACTGAGCAGTCAGTACAGAGCTGCCGTCAAACCCCGCCCCCCGCCCCCCCCGATTCTCAGTTCCCCGTGTTGCCCTGTTGTGAACATCTTACGTTAGTGTGGCACATTGTTTCAGTGTATGGGGGCTAGTGACAGCTTATTATCTGAAGCCCGTAGTTGATGTTAGAGGTCACACACTGTGTGGTTCAGGCCTTGGTGTCCGCCATGACAGTATCATACGGAACACGTTTGCTGCCCTAAAAGTTCCCTGGGCACCCCCTCTTCCTCCCTCCCCCCGTCCCTGACAACTACCCGTCTTTGCACTGTGTGTATAGTTTTGCCCTTTCTGGAAGGTCCATGAACAACATGGGCCTGAACTCTTTGGGTTCACTTATACGTGAATTTTTTTCAATAAATACAGCCTGGCACCGTAAAGGTATATTCTTAATGTTTTTTTTCTCCAGCTTATCGTATTGTAAGAATACGATTTGTGATAGACGTTAACATACAGAATATGTATTAATTGACTCTTTATGTTATTGGTAAGGCTTCTCGTCAGCAGGACACTGTTAGTCGTTAATTTGGTGGGGGGGAGTCAAAAGTTGTAGCGGACTTTAAACTATGGGGGTCAGTTTCCCTAACCCCCGCGTTGTTCAAGGGAATCCATATGGCCTGTAGCTTTTTCAGACGGGCCCGTTTCGGTTTTTGTGTGAAGTGCCCACTCATGCCCACTGCCAGGCTTTTTCTGTCACTCATGCCCACTGCCAGGCTTTTTCTGTCACGATACTCTTTTGTTTTGCTTTTCTTATTGACTTACTAAATAGTCTTAACATTTTTCCTGTTTGGATCACCCCAGTAAACATTTCTTCCAAGCTTCTTTATTTTTTTACTTTATTTTCCAGCATTACCATATGTTTCTTTTTTTTTTTTTTTTAAAGATTTTATTTATTTATTTGACAGAGAAAGACAGAGAGGGAACACAAGCAGGGGGGAGTGGGAGAGGGAGAAGCAGGCTTCCCGCCGAGCAGGGAGCCCGACGCGGGGCTCGATCCCAGGACCCGAAGGCAGATGCTTAACGACTGGGCCACACAGATGTCCCTACCGTTTCATTTTTTAATGTTTTCATTTTGACGAGTCAAATACTGTACACACGAGCACGATTGTGTGGGTAGGAGTCCTCAGCCAGCGCTGGAGCCACAGCCCGGCCCACGGACCATCGGTGGTGGCGAGTGGGGCAGAGTTCGCGCTCTCGGGCTTCCCTCTCGTCTCTGTGGCTCTGTTTTCCCCTGCTGGCTCTGGAGGACGGCCGCGGCCGCTCTCCCTGGGTGGGCCACATCGTGGTGTGCTGACTTCCGGCTCTGGAGGCCCCGGGTGTCTGAGCATGTCCTTTCTCCTGGATGTTCGGGAGGACTCTGGCTCGGTGGGGCCTGTGGACTGTGGGCTTCGGGTCCCGGCGATGTGTGTCTGGGACACACGGAGGTGGCTTGTCCCTTTGCACGTGGGTCTTTGTCTGCAGTCCTCCGAGGGCCTCGCTTCCTCTCTCAGCTTTTACTGATGCGATGCCACGGCAGGGGAGAGAGCAGCGCTGTCTGCCTCGGAAGCCTTCTGACAGTGGGGCAGATAAGATGTTCACAGAGTCTTCTCGCTCGCACGTCGGAAGGTCTGGCTTGTGTGGAAATGTGTAGCCAGCTCGGAGCTCCTGACAACGAAGCTGTCTCTGGAATATTAATTGTACTGAGTGTTCTTTTAAGACATTGAGGGTTGTTCCCTTTTGAAACTCACCTGAAATCCCTAAATAGCTGCAGTTTTGGCTGATTTCTTAATTTGTTAACCAGGTTTTCTGAAACCTATTTTCTTCGAGTTTCAAATGCTTGTAAAGCTGCTTATTTAAAGCCAGAGAAGGAACAATATGGTTTTCTCCTTCTCCCTTTGCATGTGAACGTGAACTCAGGCAAACTACTCAGACCCATCAGGAAAGAGAAAATCAGTTTGGAACATTTACAGTAATGCTGGTTTTAAGCAGCAATAGTGCATGTATTTTATGTGCATTATAAATGATAAAAACTATCATTTTTTCTTAATGTGTATGTTTTCCTAATAAGGCAAAAATGCAAGCATTAAAAAAAAAATCCCTGCAAATTAAATTGTACATTTTGTGAAATTACAGATGGCAAAACCAGAAGTTAAAATAAGATGTATATTGTTCTACTTATGTATTACAACTAAACGATTTCCTTTTTTTTTTT